AAGACATACGCAAGGTAAGACGATATTTTCCTTTAATGCCGCTGTGCAGTGTTTTGCCTTGTCAATCAGTTAAAATTGAATTCATAGTTTTATTAATATTGTAAATAATATTTTCTGACTATTTGTAATGTTATGTAGGTTTGTAAGACCCATAGTTAGCGTGTGGGCATGTGCAGCTGTTGCTAGGTGATGTAGGTCTATAATGGTTTATTAAGCATAACAGTTAAGGCGAGACACCCCAGGTGAATAGGGTAATTTTTTTTAACTTAAAGACATTTCTCCAGTTAATTACCTAGAATAAGGCAATTGTTTATTGTATTACAAGTTTTATGAATATGCAAATGACCCATTATCTCATTAAATATGCGCATATTTTAACACATTTCAGGAACCGAAATCTAAACTTTGGATAAAGCCAGGTTTCATTTTGTATTCATATTGGCATCCAAGGCTTTTACAGAAGGGATTTTGGATATCTCTTTTTATTCCTCCATAAATCTGAAAATACTGTTAACAGCCCTAAAATATCAATTTTCGCCATGTTTTTAGGTATACAATCTTATATAATTCAGGCTATGAATGATATATGAACAAACTGTTTATTAAAAGCCTTCATAATGTTGATAGGAATATAAATGAAAGGTTTGGTGTATGTAAGTGCAACTGAAGTGGACATTTCGGAGAGTAGGAGAAAAAACTCATTTTGAGAAAACAACCTTTACAGATTGCAGTGTGGCGCTAGCTAAACCCTCCTGTTCTTTGGATGACAGCTTGCGCCTCGACGCACTCCGTGAAGGTATTTAATATTCGGGGTCGTTTGTTTTTTGTATAATCTTGCTTCATGCAAGTGACAATTGTTGTTGTCTGTGAACGTTTTTTTCGCCGTTCTTTTGCCATATTGAGATTAAAATTTCTAGTGGAAAGCTAACCAGGAAGTGTTTTAGCACACCACGTGACGCATCTGAACGAATCACGTTGTCAGAAGATGACACCAGCCAATGAGATTTCGTTTCTTGGTTTAAGACCCTTTTGTACTTTCACGATTGGTTGCCGATACAAAGGAAATGACCATATTTGGATCCGATGAGATTGTGCAGGAGAGACGGAGCTTTCCAACGATATCTCTGATGACATGGTGCAAACAGCGGTCGCGGTACTTTGTTACGAGAATGCTAACTTTTGGTGAATTTAGGACAAACTATAGTAAAATAAACACTTAAGTGTGTATTTTGTACGTTTTCCTTCCAAAAGCCTGAAAGAAAACATGTTATGGAATCAAAATAGCACAACATCTCAAAATGTACCGGTGCATGAAAAACGATGTTTTTGCCTGCTGTGTCTCGCCTTTAACAAACAATTTATGCTGCTCGTATCGCTGACAGCCGGGCCGACCCGGCACCGCCTTTTTTCTTCTTTTTTTTAAGCGGCCCCCCTCCCCACTTTTGGCAGCACCCCCTGAGCAAAATGACTTCCCGCGGCTATGCGCGTTGGAAACCGTTTTTGAAGCTTTCGAAGCTGTAGTGTGGACGGGCCGTTAGAGTAAGCTCTTTTCTCACAGGTTCCCTCAGGAACATGTTACAGCAGCTATACAGCATCTCAGAGGTGTAACAGCAGACACTTTGGAGGTCTATTTATAGGGCACCCTAGATTCCTTGGCACACGTTGTGAGTATTTTAGTCCTGCTGCTTGTCAAGGCCCATCTCAAAAGATAGTGTTACTGTTGGCCTGGGCCAGGTCTAGTTCCTGCTCTTTCTAGAATATTCTAGGCTAGTTGCTAAGACCCAGCCAACTGCTCACTGTCCGATCAGCATGTCCCCCCCTCTCGTTTCCTTTTTCTCTCAGGCTGTACTATATGACTAATTGAAAATTAGCCAGAATAATAATAAAATAATCCTTGCTCTTTGATGTTCTGCAGTTGCAGGATTATGAAGTAATCCTTCAGGGCTTTTCCTGGAAACAAGCGGCCATTTTTACATTCAGTGTTTCTTGCCAGCACACCAAACTGTGGAATACATATCCTTCCTCATTGAACATTTCAAAACCCAATCTTCTGAATGATTAATAACCTAATTCCTGCGTCCAGGTTAGCATCAGCTTGCAGTCGTCTTCTTTCTCAACCTTTGCTGTGAAACGTTTACAAGATGCGATGGGAAGCAATTTTACAAGTTAACAATCAGAATGTTGTTCCATAGCAACTACTAAAGTACAAGAGAAGTTAACCCTTTTTTGTATTGCATATGTGCCCATGTGTGAGTACCTACTAATGCTACATGTTTTACTTTCTCTCCTTTTTAAAGAGTTCTCGCCTCCTGAGCTCCTCCAGAGACTACAGCAGCTCTGACAGTCGCTCCAGCAGCTGGAAGTTACCCTCCTCTCTGACGTCCTCCAGCAGATCTTATGAGCGCCCCTGGGCTGAATCCTCTCTCAGCAGCAGGAGCAAACTGGTACTGAAGCTGTGGCAAAATACAGTCTGGGTTACATGTTTTCGAAAACATTTGAGTTTATAGGAATCTTGTTGAATCAAATACATTTGAAATGTCTGCCTGCTTTTCCCCAGACTGATCCTGAGCCCAGGTTGGGGATGCGCTCCAGTCTGTTGAACGTCACTGATGATGGCGATTCTAAAAGGGCAAAACTGTCGTACAGCAACAGAGGACTGTACACGAGAACTCCCAGCACCTCCGTTACAGGATCCACTTATTCCAGCACTGGGCTCAGCAGTGGGAGAGGTACATGACACTAGACTTGTGAAGGTCATGAGAAACGCTGTTACCATAATGTACCCTGAGTTGCTGTTGCCTTATCCTTACACAGGTTATTAAGTGGGTAAAAGAACATTTGGAAAACTATAATAAATCCTATTTGTTGGTTCTGAAATGATCTGGCTCTTAACTCAAGTGCTACTGGTGGCTTTTGTTGTTAATTTGCTACAAAGCAGACACAGTACATTTTATATTGACATAATTAGTCGTTTATGAAACGGGGACAAACCCCCGATTTGAAAATGAACTCGGCAGACTTCTAAACAGCTTGTCTCTTCTTTTCTTTAGAGAAGGACACTTATGATTCATCGTGGAGCTCGTGCCGTTTACTCTCACGGTCTTCCTCCTCCAATCCCCTGTCCAGGAGAGAGCTAGAGACCAAGAATGACCCCGTTCTCTCAAGTTTGGCGGAAAGAAGGAACAGGACCTCTGGATTGACTTCCTCATCGTGTAGGCACATGTTGTGATGTTCAAAACCTCCAAATGTTTTGTGACATATACTCACACTTCTCTTCCCTCATTTCAGATCAAACAGACAGGATGACCTCCACATATGCGCAGGGAGCTCGGCCTAAAGAGTCTACCTACACCCCCTCCTTCTCTTCCTCCTCCTACTCTTCCTCAGCTCGAGAAAGCACCCTGAATAGCCACCTCTCAGCCTCCTCCCCCTACCGATCTTCCCCTCTGTTGCGCGAAAGCACCAGAACCCCTTCCCGCTTCTTGAGCAGCTCATCCACCCTCCGCTCATCTCAAGAACCAACAAGAAACCCTGTCCCCTCCTCGAACACCACCTCCACCTCCTACTCCTCACACACCTCCAGGTTCACGACCCACCTGCCCAGACCAGAGGCCCCGCTCCCTGCCAGGCCGGTCCCGCTCCCTGCCAGACCGGCCCCTGAAGGTGTAGAGTCAGACAGCCGCAGCTCCACCCGACGCCTTCTGTCCCGCCTCTTTTCACGCCGCTCCAGCCAGGACTCTTCCAGCGGTTCCTCCAGTGTCCGCTCACTCGACGATGACAGCCCGCCCACAGGTGGAGAGTCTGTGGACAGTGAGGAGGGGCCCAGGGTGTCCAGCGTGGAGCCTGCAGCTGGAGGCTCAGAGGGGGGCTTGGGGAGAAACCGCAGAGCAGACCTCGCCCCGATCCAGGAAAACAACGATCGCAGGGAACAGGCTCCGTCCAGAACGACGCAGTGGAGAGAGCCTGGTGTGGGCAGTAGTAACACCAGCAGCAGCGGGGGGGGAGGCAGCAGTTACTCCTGGCTCTCCTCCTCCCTCCGCGGCCGCTGCCCTCCCCTCATCTCCCGCCTTAGGAGACATACTCTGGGGCAAAATGCTCACTCTGCTGCTGGCTCGGAAGAAGGCTACAGCCGTCCGCAGCACCTACTGAGAAGGTGGGACAATCTTGAGCATAAAGTAACACAGGAAGATGATGATGATGAGGATGAAGATGATGATGAGGAGGAGGATGAAGATGACGAGGAGGAGGAGGAGGAGGATGAAGGAGCAGTTGGTTTGGAGGCCTTTAATGCAGGTCGTCCCTGCAGACTCCAGGGTGAAACGTTACCTGAACTCGAGGACACAGCAGTCGATGTTCCCCTACACCGCAGAGCGTACGACAACATCTCGTCTCATATGGTAGCTCTGGGAGCTGAGAGCCAGAGGGAGAAACCCACCGCGGACCAGGAGAAGCTGCGAAAGATCAAGGAGAGGTAATGGAGTACTATCTAACTCGTACGCATTTCATCTTGTAAACTTAGAATAGGTATTTTAGATATATATATATATACAGGGTTGGAAGGGTTACTTTTAAATGTAATCAGTTACTGATTACATGGCTCTGAAAGTAATCCGAATACAGTTACGTGTCTTAAAAATGTAATCAGATAACTTTTAGATTACTTTTGGATTACTTTCTTTTTCCATCACAGATGGGTATGTTTTGGTGTACAGGAGACACAAAAA